ATTTGATGAATTATTGTATTTTAATATTTTGCTGGAAGTGGAAGCTGCCCAGAGTGGCTAGGGAAACCAGCCAGATGGGCGGGGTATAAATAAATAAATAAATAAATAATCATCATCATCTCCTGGCAGGGATGGGAACAATTCGTGCCTGAGATTCTGCCAGTCAGTGTAGACAGTACTGAGCTAGATGGACCAATGGTCTGACTCAGTATAAGGCAGCTTCCTATGTTCTAAGGGCAGGCAAGCAGGCAGGCAGGTATCCAGGCAGGCAGGCAAGAGAGCCCAAGAGGGGTGAGTGGCAGGTGTACAGGTATCCAGGCAGGTTGTCCTTGAGTGAGGAGAGAGGCATTGTGTGAGTGTGCTGGACTGAGAAGGGCAACAATGGACCAGCCGACAGAGACATCCGCCACTGGTTCTTGGAGTGCTGCCAGAGCCCAGATCCAGCAGAGAGATTCTGCTAGGCTGAGGCCAGTTCAGCCAGGCAGACATGTCCCCCATTTTCTCCAGCTAGCAGCGAGATGGAAACTGCAACTGCTCCGCACAACCATTTCAGCTGAGCCATTGTGCTGGGCCTGGGACCCCTTCTTGGCAGCAGCTCCCTCCCTGTGGAACGCCCTCCCATCAGATGTCAAGGAGAACAAGAACTACAGTATGCAACTTTTAGAAGGCATCTGAAGGCAGCCCTGTATCAGGAAGTTTTTAATGTTTGATGTTCTATTATGTTTTTATATGTGCTGGAAGCTGCCCAGGTGGCTGGGGCAACCTAACCAGATTTGGTGGGTTGTATAAATATTATTATTATTATTATTATTATTATTATTATTATTATTATTATTATTATCATCATCATCATCATCTGCTCTCAAGGGCCCAGCCTTTGCTCATGTGTGTACACCACCCTTTGAAGCTGTGGAATAAAAAAGCAAGGGCTTTTAGGCATGTGCAAAGTGCTTTAGCAAAGCCACAACCATATCCTGCGAGTGGATAGTTCTCCCAAGAAAGAGATGTGAGGAGTGGAGTCACACATGAATCTGGGCTTTTAAACTTGTACAATAAATGGTCTGGAGTTCAGGGTGTGAACAGTCTGGCTTGGCTGGCGAGACAGTGACAGCAAATTATTTAAGGAGCAAAGGCTTCAAGGGGGCCAGTCCAAACTTGGTGGAAGGGCAGGAAAATGGGAAATCCAATTCAGTGGAAAGAAGGAAGGCAGCACCAAGGCAGGAGAGGGATGTAATTTTGCACACCTGCTCATGGAGACAGAACTGGCAGTCACTGCCAGGGATGAGACCTGGGGAGCAGCAAATCCCACGCCAAGGATGCTTTAGAAGAGGGACTGTAAAACGAAACCGCCAATAGCATTATGCAAACTGGTGTTGTGACCACCCTTGAAATATTGCGTACTGCTATAGCTGGCCTGAGCACATCCAGGGAAAGGGCTCTTTGCACCCAGAAGGAGACCCCCAGGACACCTCTGTGAAGGCTGGGTTCTGAAGATCTGCAATCCTGACAGCAATAGCTCCATCCCTGTGGCAGGTAAGCGGAGCCCCTTGTTGCCAGCTCAGCCCAGCAGGAGCCACCCCCCAAGGCCCCTGGTCCTCTTTGGACCTCCCTAGGCTCACAATGCCCAAACACAGCCTGTCTTGTTCTGTTCTGTACCAAGAAACTCACACAAGGGAACTCACAGAGGGAGGGAGGGGGAATAGGCAGAGTGGCATTGTGAGGCCGCTGTGTTCCTTCAAGATCTCCTTCCGTGGCTTTTCATGTAGTGGCGGCAGCCAAGACTATCCCAAGGAAGCCTCTCCAGTCTTTGGCACTCTGTGTGTGTCCCCACCTACTCACTACTACCCCCCATATATATATATATATATATATATATATATATATATACACATACATATATATATCTGAGCAGCAAGATATTCCAGGAACTTACCTAGGGTTCGGTTTCCTTGGAATGAAGAACAGTGAAGAGGTTGGTGTCTTTAGGATGGAAGGATTTAATCAAAGGGACTGGTTGGGCAAGCTTGCTTTCAGACCTTCAACCCTCACAGATACAGGAACCCAATAATAATAATAATAATAATAATAATTATTATTATTATTATTATTATTATTATTTATTTATTTATACCCTGCCCATCTGGCTGGGTTTCCCCAGTCACTCTCTGGGCGGCTTCCAACAGAATATTAAAATACAATAATCTATTAAACATTAAATGCTTCCCTAAACGGGGCTGCCTGGGAAGAGACTCAGGGCATCATCCAGACTGACCCTTCTCACACACACACAAAAACCCTCCAAAAATCACTAAATCGCCTGTGGGTTGAAAAACATCTTTGGTTTGTGGCTGAAGTAGCTGCTAAGGAGGTGGGTGGGGTGGGAGAAAGAGAGGAGCAAGCCTGGCTACGCCCCCCTCCAAATCAGCTGGAAGTCCCCCACTCATCCGCCTGTGCATGGGTGGGAGAGAGCCTTGGCGGCGGCAGCGATTCATCCCAAGGCTGGACTCTCTTCCTACCCGTACGATTCTGTAGAATTGGTCCCGCACTTGAACAGGATGTCTCCCCAGCGGGTTTTGAATCACACAAGGTGTCAGGGAGGGAATGGGGCCTTTTGTGTAACTGTTTAGAAAGGGCCTTGAGGGTCCAAGTTAAACTGCGGAACTCCCTGCCACAGGAGGCCGTGATGGCCACCAATTTGGATGCCTTAAAAAAGAGAGGATTAGGAAAATTCGAGGAGAGGGCTATTGATGGCTACTAGCCACTGGGGCTGTGCTCTGCCTCCACAGTCGGGGGCAGCAAGGCTTCTGAATACCAGTTGCTGTGGAAGCCACAGAAGAGGAGAGGGCTCTTGTGCTCAGATGCCGCTTGCTGGCTTCCTACTGAACCATCTGGTTGGCTACTGTGTGACCAGGATGCTGGACCAGATGGGTTCTACATGCCTGACCCAGCAGGCTCCCCTTGGGTTCTTAGTCCCTACCTGATGGAGATTAGCAGCTGTGGAGTTTCTCCAACCCCAAAGCAGACTTGAGCCCCCTTTTGGGAACTGAGGCTCACTAGGAAGCCCCACTTGGGGATGCTGCCCCAGGGGATGCAGGGAGCATGGTCAGCCCTCGCCACAATTGGCTGGCTGAACAAGAGCCATTGTTACATGCCCAGAGAGGGTGGGGTGATGGGGTTGCACAGCTCCCTCTGCTCCCTTGGGGATGGTCCAGGCACCCCAACTGGCCAGAGCCAATGTTTTTCTCTCGGCCTCCAGAGACAGACGCCCACGGTCACAGTGGCGCCAGAGCTGACAGGCCCCTCCAGATCAGGACGTGGTGAAGGCAATCCCCTTGGCCCCGCCAAGCCCCCAGAGCTGTGGGGGGCAGAAGCAGGGCCCCTAGGCAGAGCCCTCCCTGTTTCTATACTGCTCTTAAAGGTACGGGATCCCCCACAGAGGTCTCAACCTGACATCCTTCCACCTTTGCTCCCCCTGCCCCCGCACAAGCCCACAGCAATCTCCTTCCCTGCCGTAATATGTATGAATTGCTCATCCGCAGGAGACCGTGTCCTTCATCCTGTGTTGCAGGGGTTGAACTAAATAATAATAATAATAATAATAATAATTTATTTAAAACCCACCCATCTGGCTGGGTTTCCCCATTCACCCTGGGAGGCTCCCAACAGAACATTAGTAAAAGTAAAGGGACCCCTGACCATTAGGTCCAGTCGTGGCCAACTCTGGGGTTGCGGTGCTCATCTTGCTTTATTGGCCGAGGGAGCCGGCGTACAGCTTCTGGGTCATGTGGCCAGCATGACTAAGACACTTCTGGCGAACCAGAGCAGCACACGGAAACGCCGTTTACCTTCCCGCCGGAGCGGTACCTATTTATCTACTTGCACTTTGATGTGCTTTTGAACTGCTAGGTTGGCAGGAGCAGGGACCGAGCAATGGGAGCTCACCCCGTTGCAGGGATTCGAACCGCCGACCTTCTGATCGGCAAGTCCTAGGCTCTGTGGTTTAACCCACAAAGCATCAAACATTAAAAACTTCCCTAAGCGTCCCTAGATGGCCCTTGGGGTCCCTTCTGATTCTACAATTCTATGGTTCCATTGTGGTGGTGAGGAGGAGGAGTAGAAGGAGGATGCCCTCCGTGAGAATGGTACTTTCCAGTGCAGCACTGGACAGGTCCTCTGCCCGCAAGGAGCTTACAATCTAAAACTTCAAATTTTGTGGCACAATGGAGCCTGATGGCTTGGCAGGCAGAAACCCCCTGGCTGAAGTCCCAATGGCATCTCTACTTAAAAGCAGCTCAGGTAGCAGGTATGGGGTGTGGGGAAGCTCCCTTCTTCGAAGACCTGCAATCCCAGACCAGGTGCTTCTCGGCGGCTCTGAGTGTGAGCCTGAGACCCCTACCCCACCGACAGGTTTTCATGGACCATGATGAGTTAGGCAAAAGGAGCTGTGGGAAGGGTCATAGTTCAATAGCAGAATAGCTGCTTTGCATGCAGATGGTCCCAGGTTCAATCCCCTCCAGTGGCACCTGCAGGTAGAGCTGGGAGAGAACCGTGACTGAAACCTTGGCGAGCCGCTGCCGGTCAGTGTAGGCAATACCGACGAAGATTGACCCACTGGTCTCACGCTGTATCGGGTAGCAAGCTTCATGTGCTCTTCTGCTGCCCTCTGGTGGCCGCCTCGGGTACACCGGTCCGGCCTTTCCTGGATCGCGCCCTGCTGCGAGAAGCGCCGTCGGGGCTCCGCTCTCGGCGAAAAGGGGGAGCCCCGCCGGGGTGGGGCAGCGGGGATGGATGCCGTAAGGAGCACCACCCAGGGGTGCTGCTGCTGGCTGGTCAGCTGGCTGGCCGGTCGGCTTTCTCTATGGCCCGGCTGTTGACGTTGCACCCAGCGACTAACTTTCGTTTCCACCCAGGACAGATTTTGCAGAAATGAAAGTGAAAGAGGGCGCTGGGCAGAGACGGGAGATGGAGGTGGAGACACGCGTCTGCGCGAACTGGTAGGGAATGCAGCCCTGTCTATCAATCAATATCTGTCTGTCTGTCGAATCTCCCTCCCTGCAAACAGGCTGGCTGGGCTACAGTGGGAACCCCGCTCCCCATAAATCCAGTGGGGTCTTCGCCCCGCGTTAAGAAGAAACGTAGAGGGCCCGTTGTTTTGCATGAAGGAGGCCTCTCGGATTTTGTGACTCATGGAGAAAATAATATCTGTCGTTTAACATAAAAGGAATTAGATCAATATAATTGTTGGGTGAACTCCAGTTGTGTTGCTTGGAACCTTCCAATATTAATTCATGACGTTTGGTTTTGGTACGGAAACTTGTTCTCGTCTGTTTACTTCTACGGTAGGTATCCCTTTCTGTTTGTTTTATTTGGAATCTGTTGCTATCCTTCGTTCTGCTACAAATATATGAAAATTAATTTGTATAGAATTACAGCAACAGCCAGATGCAACCTTCAGAGTTCCCTTCCCTCCTCAGTTTGGGGTCAGTCCCTGCCGTGGGCAGTGACCCTCTTGGCGAAGTCCCAGCCTCTCACAGTTCTGTTGAGGACTTCCCAGGCAGAACCGAGTCCTTTGCCTTGGCGAAAGGACCAAGCTAATTTATTTGCTTAGAGCTAATAAGGAAAAATCACACACACACATACCCGTTCCTGGTTTTAACAGAGCATTTGCAGCAGAGTGGCTTACATAAAAAGCAGTCCTTGCCCCTGTAGGCTTACAATCTAAGTAGACATAGCACACAAGGAAAAAGGGACAAAGAGGGAGGAGGAAAAACAAAATCCAACTCGGGCCCTAATTCTTATATGGTGGTTCTTATGAAGACCAGGTGGCACAGTTCAGGGCTGGTGGGAGCTGGGCTTCCAGCAGTGCTGACTTGCCCCTTGTGGCCCATGGGCTCCTCTTCTCTCACCCAGCAAGCGGGACGTGGTGGCTGCCAACTTCTCCCTCCATGAGGCCCACTGCTTGCGCTTCCTGACCATCTGCCCCAAGTGTGAGGAGCCAGTGGTGCTGAAGGACATGGCGGAACACCTCGCTACAGCCCACGAACAGGTAGGGCGTGGGGGATGAAGGCCCATAGAATAATAGAACTGAAGAGTTGGAAGGGATCCCCAGGGGGTTATCTAGTTGAACTCCCTGCGATGCAGGAATCACAACTGCCCAGGCAGCGGGTGCTCAAGTTGCAGGACAGAGGAGCCTGTGAGGTGGGCTGGGGATCAGGGTTCACATCAGAGGAATCATGGTGGTCAAACGCCACCTTCCCCAGCCCTGGGTGTTTTTGTAAGGCCCTACGACCTAGCAGAGACAGAGAGTGAAAGCCAAGGGGCCTGGCCAGATTCTGCCCCCCAGCCTTTTGCCCCAGTACCTGGAAGGGAGCTGACTTGTGGGGAAGAAAAATCAAGCCTTTGTGTTGTGGTTAGGGTAGAAGTCTACTCAAGACTGTTTATTAAGGACAAGCAATTGCGTTGGAGAAGTCCCCAACAGCCAGACCTAATTCTGCTCCAATCTGATATGGGGTGTTCAGTCTACGATATGGGATTCGCAAAGTTGTCACAACCTGGTTAAGGAGACATAGCAAGAAAAACACAGGGAAACAGCATTTCTGTCAAAACCTACCCACCTGACATGTCCTGGGGTTTGGGGTGTAAAAATGGTATCGGGGGGAATTTTGTCAGGGAAAACCCGGATGTATGGCAAAGCGATGGAAAAGGCAGTGGAAACAGCTCAAAAAGCTTAAAATTACTTTATGAAATATGACGACCCTATGCTCTCTCCTTTTTCCACTGTGAGGGAGACGTGGCCTTAAGACAGGCTCAGGCAGAAGTCCTTGCAGAATCTGGACCCAAACATTCTGCTTCCATATTTGCCTTTCTCTGCCATCGCCCTCTTGCCCTCACCGCGTTGACATCTATGGAGCCTTCTAAATGCCCCTCAGAGCAGCCCCTCCAGCCTTGGGTTAGAACAAGGGGCTCTCAAAGCCGGTCTCTGGGGGTGGGGGTGGGGAGGCCCTTGTGGGTCTGTGGTAGAGCATCTTTCTGCAAGCAGAAAGGCCCTCCGCTGCTTCTGTATCATCACCAAGTGGGATAGTCGGTGCCCCAGAAGAGGGGCTGATCAGGCACCTTCCTCTGTTCCTTGGGGTGGAGTGGGGTGTGGTTTCCCTCCTGCTACCTTGGGGCCTTTTTGTGGCACTGCCAATGCCCTTCCTCACCTCCTCCTCCTCTCTTCCCACTTCCAGGTCAGATGCAAGCGCTGCCACCAGGCAATGCAGCGATTCTTACTGGAGCACCATGAGGTAAGGAAGGGGCGAACTGGCCTTCCCAGGAGGATGCTGGGGTGTCTTCTGAGAGCAGGGGTCAGCAACCTTTTTCAGCCCTGGGCCGGTCCACCGTCCCTCAGACCTTGTGGGGGGCCGGACTACATTTTGGGGAAAAAATAATGAACGAATGCCTATGCCCCACAAATAACCCAGAGATGAATTTTAAATAAAAGCACACATTCTACTTATGTAAAAACACGCTGATTCTCGGACCGTCCGTGGGCCAGATTAAGAAGGAGAATGGGCCGGATCCAGCCCCTGGGACTTAGGTTGAGAGAGTCAGGAGCCTGCTTCCGTTCTGACCCTGGGATAACAGCAGCCCCTGGGCTCAGTTTGGTTAGAGGGGCCTGAAAGGGAGCCAGCAACACCCCCTCCCCTCCTCGCCCACCCCAGATCCCTGGATGTGGCAGCTTTTCATCCTGACAGTGACGAAGAGTTTGGGGCTGGGGTGGTCTCTGGGGGTGCCTGGCAGGGAGCAACCAACATTGGCTCCCTGAAGAGCTGACATGGTGGAAGATGTGCTCCCAAGGTTGTGTCTCCTCATTCAGACAGTGTGGTGTAGTGGTTAGAATGTTGGGCTAGGACCTGGGAGCGACCAGGGTTCAAAACTACCCCCACCCCCCAACCTGGCCATGAAGGCTCACTGGGTGTGTGGCCTTGGGGAGCCAGTCACTCCCTCGCAGGGTTGCTGTGGGGGTTAAATGAGGACTAGCACCTTAGAGGTACCAATCCCCACTCCGCCATGTGAAGCTCCGTGGGCCGGTCATTCCCTCTCAGCCTAGCCTACCTCACAGGGTGGTTGTGGGGATTAAATGAGTGGGGGGGGGGGGAAGAACCATGTGCACCACCTAGAGCATCCCCCTTTCTCCAAGACGGACCCCTGTCTCTCCTTCCCCCTGCAGGCTGAAGACTGCCCCGAGCGCCTGGCCCAGTGCCACTTCTGCGAGCTGGAGGTGCCCTTCCGCCAGCTGCAGAGTCACCTCAAGGCCTGTGGCAGCCGGACCACCCCATGCTGGGATTGCGGCAAGTACATCATGTACAAAGCCCTGGAAGACCACAGCCGCACCTGCCGGGAAAACAAGGTGCTCACTGGCCCTGGTGAGTTTGCCCAAGTCCTTTTTTTTACGTGGTGAAATCTGTGGACTCGGTACGGAGAAAAGAAAGCAGTGTGTCGTTCAACTGTGGAACTCCCTGCCTCAGGAGGCAGCGATGGCCACCAACATGGGTGGCTTTAAAAGAGGACTAGACAAGTTCTCAGAGGGCTCTCGAGGGCTTACTAGCCACAAGGGCAATGCTCTGCTTCCACAGTTGGAGGCAGCAATGGATACCAGTCGCTGGAACCCACAGAAGGGCAGAGGGTCGCTGCTGAGCTCAGTTTCCCATAATGGGCATTGGTTGGCCAGTGAGAGAACAGGATGCTGCTCTCGGTGGGCCATGGGCCTGATACCGCAGGGCTCTTCTGAAACACAGTGGTTTCCCCCCACGGACCCCAATGTTGAAGCAACCCCATCTCACAGAGACGGAGGGCGAAGAGTTTTTACTTCAAAGGTAGCGTTTAGATAAGCAAACAGGCCACCAGTCTAATACAAGGTCTCAATACAAAGTCTCTCACAAGAGGGTGCAGTCCTTTAAGTGCAAGAAAAACAGTTTGGTTGTTACTGGAGTCCAAAGTTGTCCTTTTATTCTCCTGGATGTCTCCTGGCAGGAAATTCTCCAGCCTCTTCCATTCCCCCAGCTAGCTTCCCCAGCAGTTAATTCTCCTGCTAGGTATCCTTGATAAAAGGCTTCAGTTCACACTTATCTGCTCTGCCTCCCACACGCTTCACTTTCTCCTCTCAGACCCGACTCTACACCTCTGTAGTCATGCATGCGGTTAATGAGAGTCACAAGACACATGGCAGCGACTCGGGAGCTGGACCTTAATTACATTCACTGTAATGTGGTTTATTCTTTGTAAAATGCACAAATGCAATGCATACACCAACACTTCTTTGGTGTCTATGACCGGCTCTTGCCCTGCCTATACTTTTCCTTGACCTCGCCAGTCTTGCATGCTGTCGATGTCTCCTCAGCCATCTCCCATTCTGGAGGCTCTGAACATGCCCCACATTAACCCCTAGGGAAGGCCAACACACTGCCCTCCATATAAGGGTGCGAGAAGAGCCTAGGCTGGATCAGGCCCATAGCCCTTCCAGTCCAGCATCCTCTTCTCACAGGGGCCAAGCAGATGCCCACTGGTGGCACAAGAGCCCTTTCTCCTCCTGTGGCTTCCAGCAACTGGTATTATTCAGATGCATCGCTGCCTCTGACCGGGGAGGCAGAGCAGAGCCACCATGGCTCGCAGCCATCCATAGGCTTCTCCCTGGATTTGTTTAATTCTGTTTCAAAGCCAACCAGGTTGGTGGCCATCACTGCCTCCTCCCTCATCTCCTTCGCCCCAGCAAAGGGTGGTGCTGACCCTGGGGAGAACTGAGACTGTGCCTGCATGAAGCCAACCTCTCCTCTGTCCTTTTCATGCCTCTCTTGGTTCTGTGAGACCAGGGGAGCTTTGTCGCAGCAGGAGGGAGAGGCACCTGTGACTCTTCACCAGCTGGACTCCTCTCTGCCTCTTGGCCTCCCTCCTCTCCTGCTTCAGCTTCTGCCTCTGAGTCTGGACTTCTCTCTGCTCACTAAGTCCTGTTGCCTCTTCAGCTTCCGACACCTCCTCTTCCCAATCTTCTCTCTCTGGTCCCACCACCCCTCTGTGGGCTCTGAGCCTTCTTCCCTTGGGGGTTCCCCAACTGGTTCCTCCTGTGAAACGCAGTCCATGACTGGTCCAGAATCCGAAGGTTCCGCTAGGAGTCAGTCCAACAGGGCCAAGGCAGGACACAAGGCAAGGACAGGTACAGGATCTCAGGCAGGATCTAGCATACAGCAGTGTTGCTCCCGCAACCTGGGGCAGGGTCTGACAGCCTTTTATCTTTGTTAGGGTAGCGGCCGGTCCTGATCCCCCAGCGACTCACCTCCCTGTTTCGCCCAAAGGCGGGCACTCCTCCTGCGAGTACTCAGGTCTCTCCTTCTCTCAGACCTTAGTCTCTGCAGCTCGGGAGACGTCGGTGGGTTACTAGACCCAGGGGCCACCTCAGCCTCCCCTGAGCCAACCGGTAGTGGAGCAGCTGTAAGTGATGGCCCAGCTGAAGGCAACGAGGTAATCCCCGCATCTGGAGCCAGGGCAGGCTCAGGCCCCTGACCCGGCCCAGCTGGTGTTTGTTGCAGGGGAACCTGTGCAGACTGGGACTCTTCGGGATCAGGCCCCAGATGTGGTTCAGGTGATGCCTGAGGCAAAGGATCCGGTGCAGACTGAGTCTCCTCTGGTTCCGAGTCCGAGTCCCAGGCCATCACACTTCCCACCATTCCTCTACGCCCAACCAATCTAGGACACTGACTTGGTCCGCTTGCTGCCAGTAACCCTTTCTCTCCCTGCTACAGGGCCCAAGGCCAATCTGTGCCAGCAGTGCAACAGCTGGTTCCCCGACGAGAAGTACCTCCAGCACCTGGTAAGGTTCCTGGCTCCATCTCACCACCATGGGGGCTTTGACTGGGGCCCATGAGAGGAGGCAGAGGAGGCTCTCCAGGACAGGTGGCCGAGTGAAGGGACTGCAACAGGGTGGCAATTTGTGACACCTGCCAAGTCACTGGAATCTCACCAGCCAAACCCTTGAACCCAGGGATGGGGAGGTCAATGGGACACATTCCCTCTCAGGCAGCTTTCCTGGGGGGCTGTGTGCCAGTGGTGGGTGGGGCCAGAGGCAAAAGTGGGCATGGCCAAATGCAAAAGTGGGTGGAGCAGTGGATAGGAAGCTTTGTCTAGTAGTATGTAATGAGAGGGGGGGGGAGTCAGTGGCTTGTACACCACACAAATGAGCCACAACACACGCACCAACATGACCGTGCAAGGGCCCATTCCAGCCACCCCAAGGCTTTGAGGGCACAGAAGATGGCTGTGGTCTGCAGAGACTCCCAGGGGCCGGTTAAAGGGCTCAGGAGGGCCACATTCAGCCTGATATTCCCCAGCCCATTTTGCCTACTGGGTTGTGACCCCCTCCCCATGATTAAAGATCCCCCTCCCTGCTAGGGTAAAGTTGGGGGGGGTTGGCTCCTTCCCACCTGAAAGTCACCCAGCTTGGGGTGTGGGGAGGCTGTCTGCACAGCAAAGAGGGCACCCCAAGCCTTTTGCCCCCATGTGTGGGACTCCAGCCAGCTTCTTCATTTGGGGAGGGGGGGTTGTGCGGCTGAGTCAGCCCCTCCCTTGTCCTGACTCTGCCCAGCTCCAGCCTCCCTTTTTCTCCTCCGCAGAATGAGTGCAGCCCCCTCTCTCAGCTCCTGGGGGCCCTCAGCACCCGATCATCCACAGAGCCCACCTCCCCTCCGTCCGCCTCGAGCCCCCTGACCCCAGCCACTCCGCCCCCCACCCCGAGCCCGGTGGCTGAGAAGGACGTCCGGCCCAAGATAAAGGAGAAGGAGTTGTCTTCCCTGGGGAGACCCTCGATGAAGCCCTCTCGGCCCAAGAAGTCCTCCAGCCGGCCGGCCTTCACCTCCACCCTTCCCCAGGCCCTGGGGGACGAGGAAGAGGCCGCCACAGCCTATGACCAACTGGCCACCTGCTCCCAGTGCAACATCCTCCTGCCCAGGCCCACCCTGCAGAAGCATGAGGTGAGGAGCGGGGAGGGAAGAGGAAGGCTTTGGCTGGGTGGAAATGGGGGGCATTTGCAGATTGCAAGTGGGGTGGGTATCTCTCCACCTGAATCCCACCCCCAGGTTCTCAGGAGGGGCACTCCCAGAGAAAGGGACCTTCCTCCACGAGGTCTCCCCTTTTGTTGCTCCTTCTCAGGCTTCCAAGAGGCCACCGGCCCTCCCCACCTGAAAGACTCATAGAATTGGAAGGGACCTGGAGGGTCATCTAGTCCAACCCTCTGCAGTGCCCAGCGTGGAGCTCGAACTCTCGACCCTGAATGGGAGTTGGAGCCCACCAGCGTCCAGAGGGGGGCCCCAGAGGCTCGCCACCCCTGGCCTGAAATTTTCGACATTTGTGGGGAGGGGCTGTGCTTCCTTGCCCCCAGGGTGAACAGTGGCGCCACCTGCTGGCACCTCCTTGACAGCGGGGGAGAGATTTCCTACAGACGTTTGGCCAGTCTGGGTCATGTATCTGCCTGTATAAACCTCCTGTTAAGGGGAATAGAGGGTCTAAGGCTGCAGGGGGAGAGACCCTCACCACCCCCTCCTCTCCTCCTTCCAGAAAAAGTGTCGACGGGGAGCTTCTTTGCAGGCCCTGCGACGGAGCCCCCGGATCCTGAGGAAAGAAGGTATGTATTTATTTTATTCATTGATTGCATTCTGTTGATATCTGTCGCTCAAGGTGGCGTACGTACATGGATCTCCCCCTCATTTAATGCCCACAACAGCCCTGCGAGGTAGGCTAGGCTGAGAGGCAGGGACTTGCCCAAGGTCAACCAGTGAGCTTCATGGTCAAGTGGGGTGAGGATTTGAAGGCTGTTCTCTTCCAGTCCTCGCCTGACGCTCTTGCTACTCTGCCATGCCTTATTTCAGACAGAATCCACCCTGACCCCTCTCCCCTGCTCCAGAGAAGATGCATGAGCAGGGGCAGAGCCTCTGGTCTCCTCCTGCTGTCACTGCAACCCTGAGGGGCCTGAAGGAATAGAATAGGAATAGAATCACAGAAGAGACGGCCAAGGGTCATCTAGCCCATGAGTAGGCAAACTAAGGCCGGGGGGCCAGATCCAGCCCAATTGCCTTCTAAATCCGGCCCACGGAGAGTCCGGGAATCAGCGTGCTTTTACATGAATAGAATGTGTGCTTTTATTTAAAATGCATCTCTGGGTTATTAGTGGGGCAGAGGAATTCATTCTCCCCCCCCCACCAAAAAAAAAATATAGTCTGGCCTCCCACAAGGTCTGAGGGACAGTGGACCACCCCCTGCTGAAAAAGTTTGCTGACCCCTGATCTAGCCCAACCCTTCTGCAATGTAGAAATCCTTGACAAATGGCCATCCGACCTCTGTTGAGAAACCTCCAATGTCCGCCACCTTCCACCGCTGAGCAGCCTTTACCCTCAGAAAGCTCCTCTGTCCTTTGCTGGGTTTGGGGTTTTTTACACCTAGAGTGTCATCTCCAACTCCCGTTGGTGGACATCTCCCTGCAGCTACTTCGAAGTTTACAATGAGGGCGATTGATCGATCCATTTCTCCCTCCAAGCGGGAGATCCAGTGCATGCTGTGCCCATCCCCCACCCTCAGGACGCCCTCCCAGGGACCACAGGGGATTGCAGACCCCATTTTATGTATCTGCTGCCCTTTTCAACCCCCCTCCCCACCCAGCGGGCCCACAAGGCAGCTTCCAGGAACAAGGGGTGGTCCAATCTAGGGAGCCACCTTGGGAAGAGGCAGCCTCAGCAAACGCCCTTCGCTGCTGCAGCGGACAGGAATCAGCCAACAGACTTTTGGGGTGTTGTACAACTGTGTGTGTCCTGCTTTGCCTTCTAGCCTGGCTATGTATGGCATAGGACACACACACACACACACACACACACACACACACTCCCCCACAGCCATTGATGAAGGCCCCCAGACTCCTCTGAAAAAACAAATCCTGCCATGGAACTGAGCCTCCTTTGCTCATCTTGTCTTGCAGAGGAGTCGAAGTAGAGAGAGATCCATCTTGCAGGAAGATCCCTGGGCAGCGGCAATCACATCTCCCACCTCTGGGCGTTGGGCCAGCCCAGATTTTTTGCCTCCCTGCAGGATCAGGTTCAAAGTAAAGCGCTTTGCAACGCACAAGCCCCGCTCTGCCTTATTGAGAATAAAAGAGCTACGATTCGCACCCGTGACTGAGTGCAAAGAGCCACTTTGGGATTGACTCTGGAGGAACAGGAATTGCGGAGACTCGCGGGGGTGGGGGGCAGACAAGGGTGTTGTTGAGGTGAGTCACCTTGAAGCCCCCACAGTGAATGGGACCCGCGTCCTGCAGCTTCAATAGCCAGCCAAAAAGCAAGGAATGTGCCACCGCTCAGCTGATCAAGCCCCATCTGTTTGTGGGATCAGTCTGTAGGGCTAGGCGATGCCTCTCTTCCTAAGGTGGGGAGGAAGAAGCCAAGATACATTTTGGGCATGATGATATGCTAGCATATCCCAATATTTAGCTGCTAATACATCACGATTTTGAAAACCAAATATCGGCCAGTCCTACTGACCATACCCTGCCCCAGAAAAAGGATCTGTTTCTATGTGTTACAGTGGGGAGAGGTGGCTTACAAGGTACCCTCGGCTTCTACTTTATTGTCCAATATAAAGTTTAAAGCGATTTGAGCCCCTTTGTGTCCATTCGGGGTTGTGCGGAAGAGGGAGGTCCCTGGAGCGCAGAGACTGCACCAGCGCTGCTGCGAGGTCAGAAGTTGTTGATGGCAATGGACTCTCTCATCTGCATGCAGAGGACCTCGTCGATGTAGATGGTGTTTGCTTTGACCTGGATCTCCTCCTCCAGAGACAGCTGGCGGCGGTTCAGGCCTTTCAGCTCGGCGTCGGCCTGGGCCAGGGTCTCCTTCAGCCTGTAAGGGAGGAGCGGAAGGAAAGAGGGTCACGGTCCTCTGAGGGGGACTAAATAGGGCAAGCAGACCCTCCTTGCTCCTGGCCCCACCAGAACTCTCCATCTGAGCTGGTCTTTGACCGTAATAAATTATCTCTCTATCTATCTTGACACCTGCGGGTGAGCACATTTGCCCACAGACTGATGGGAGCATAACACCCAACATTCCACTTGAGAATTATGGGAAACAACCCAATTTGCATGAGAAGAACCTGCTGGTTCTGGCCAAAGGCCCGTCTAGCCCAGCATCCTGTTCTCACAGTGGCTAAATATCTCTTAGCAGCCTAGGAATTGAGATAGACAGCCCCTACACCTGGAGGTTCCATAAAAAAATTAAGGACCTGCTGGATCAGACGTCTCATCCAGCATCCCTTGGTCAACCAGATGCCCCAAAGGCAAGTCACAAGCAGGACCTGAGTGCAAGACCCTTCTCTCCCCTCTTGTGGCTTCCAGCAACTGGTACCCAGAAGCATTGTTGCCTGTGACTCTGCAGGCAGAGCACAGCCATCATGGCTAATAGCCATCAGTAGCCCTCTCGTCCCTCTGTTAATTTATCCAATAGTCTTAAAAAGCCATCTCGGCTGGTGGCCATCACTCTGGCTCCTTTGGAAGCGAGTTCCATAGTTTCAACTATGAGCTGTGTGAGAAGGTCCTTTCTTTTATCCGTGCTGGATTTTCCAACTTCCAGCTACATGCACGAGAACATCCATGTGAATTTGTTTGCTTTGCATAACTTAGCTCCGTTTGCCAGGAAGGCAGGTGAGGAGGTGGTGCACTGCTACCTGGCCCCTACCTCCCTCTCACCCCACTAGAATCAGGCCCTGCTCAGTCCCTTTGAGTTCCTGGGGAAAATACATCAAAACATCAGTCAAATGTACAAGCCTGGGTACTTCAAGGCCCCCTGCTGAGGAACCACAAAGTGCACCCTTTGCAAGGCAGCACCCACCCACCCACTCCTGGCTGCTGTTTGGGAGCAAGGAGAGTGCTGCTACCCCCCAGGGAGATCTCTGGGGTGGGCCTGGCCCTGCGGCTGTTGTACTTGCCTCTGGATGTTGTGGTTGATCTCGTGCACCTCCCGCATCAGCCGGTATTGCGCCTTGTCCCGGCAGAGCTCCACATTGGGCCGGTGGGTCCTCGTCTCCAGGCGGGTCTGGGCCACCTTGGCCGGCCCCTCCTTGTCCAAGATGGCTTTCTTCAGGGACTCAATGTTCTTCTCCTGAGCACTGACCTGCTCCATCACCTTCAAGCAGAAGCAGGGCGGAGTCAGGAGCAGGGCAGGAAGATCTCGGAGGACCAACTCACCACTTCCCCTCTCTGCTGCCCCAGCTAAGTCAGAGCATAGAATCCTAGAATTGTAGAGTTGGAAGGGATCCCCAAGGGATATCTAGTCCTGATTCCTGACAGACAGCCATCCAACCTCTGCTGGAAAACCTCCAAGGAAGGAGAGCCCACCACCTTCCAAGATGCTCCACCATCTCTCAATGTTGGAAACGTCTTCCTAATGTTTAGTCGGCGCCTCTTTCCTTGTAGTGCGAATCCATTGGCCTGAGTCCTCCCCTCTGGAGCAGCAGAAAGCAAACTTGCTCCATCCTCTCAATGTGATGACCCTTCATATATCTGAAGGTGGCTATTGTACTGCCTCTCAGTCTCCTCTCCTCTTCTCCCCCCCCCCATTCACACAAAAGGCAGCCCATTAGGAAGCAACTGGGGTGAGGTGTCTGGAGAGCAAATCTATGGCCTCTGGACCTGAAACTCCAACACTGGTCCACACTGCAGCCAGCCTCAGAGGTGCTACAGGAATTCTTTGCGATCCCTAAAAGGTAAAGGTAAAGGGACCCCTGACCATTAGGTCCAGTCGTGGCCGACTCTGGGGTTGTGGAGCTCATCTCGCTTTATTGGCCGAGGGAGCCGGCGTACAGCTGATTGGCAAGTCCTAGGCTCTGTGGTTTAACCCACAGCGCCACCTGCGTCCCTTTGCCATCCCTACATGGGGATTATCTTTGTGGATTGATCCTTGAAAGGAGGTGCCGTGCCTCTCAACCAAGCCCATAGCTAAAACCTGAGCATTGCAGTTTAAAAGATTGGAAAGCTGGCTTGGGGGAGATCAGAGCCCTGATAGGCATCAGACATGCTGCTTTCCCCAGGATTGATAGAGGTAATTCGTTTATTGCAATTGCACACTACCTTTTTCTCCAAGGGTGGTATACATTGTTCTCCACCTCCCTGTTAAATGCCCACAACACACCTGCGGGGCAGGTAAGGCTGAGAGGCAGTGAGTGGCCCAGGGTCACCCAGTGAGCTTCATGGCTGATCGGGGAATCATTGCTTGATCTCCCCTGGTGTGACACTGTAACCCCGATGCCACACAAAACCCCTAAACATGGTGATGGGGTGGAAAAGAGAAACCGGCGGTTTGCCCCCATCGTTCCATCAACTCCTCCCTACCCTATGAAAAGCATTACAGTCATACCTCATGTTACATCCGCTTCATGTTACGTTCTTTCAGGTTACGTCCTGCGGCGACCCGGAAGTACTGGAAAGGGTTACTTCCGGGTTTTGCCACTTGCGCATGCGCAGAAGTGCAAATGACGTCACACGCATGCGCAGAAGTGGCGAATTGCAACCTGCATGTGCGCAGCTGCGGGTTGCGCTCTTTTCATGTTGCGAACGGGCCTCTGGAACGTATCCCATTCGCAACCAGAGGTACCACTGTATTCAGAACAGTGGTTTACACAACCCACTATGGAAGACAGTAACACAGTAACAGAAAAAGAAAAACTGTAGCAATTGCACATATTAAAACGATATCATTTAATGAAAACAGATGCACTTAATCCAGTAATGTGATGCCACCTTTTCAGAGTCTGATACTCACGGACACCTCCATTGCCCCCCTAGGGAATTCCACTGCCCCCCCAGGGGTGCTACCACTCACTTAGGGAACCACCAGGCTAAGTGGTGACCGGATGGAGCTTTTGCTGCTGCCGGCCCAGTGCTTACCTTGTCCAGGTGGTCTTCCAGCTTGGCCTTAGCGCTCTTGGTCTCCTTCAGCCGGTTCCGGAAGGCGACGTTGACGGTGTTGATCTGCTTGCGCAAGTCGCTGGCCGCCTGGGAGAGGATGCTGTCGATCAGGGCCCTCAGCGCCAGGGAGTTGTTGCGCTGTTGGTCGGCCTTTTCCACATTCGTGTTCGAGAAATCCTCCCATTCTTCAGGGCTCACCGAGCTGCCGGGGGAATGAGGGGGGGGGAGGGAAGTGGGGGGGGTCACTCCTAGCTGGCCTGCCCTAAATCTTCAGGCTCAGGAAGGGGAGAGAGGTTCTGGGGGGTGGTCCCAGTGATGCTAAATGTTATGAGAATTATAAGGTTTAAGAAAGTTAATGTTCATAAATGTACCACATACATAAATATATAAACCACATGTCTGAAACAGTACAGGAAAACAGTCCTGAAACCATTTTGACTCTCCCAAATTGACCTCAAATGTTTCTCTGCAAGGAGGAAGGAAATGGGAAAAGCCTCCCCATTGTCTCTGTGCTCACAAATCCTGCCTTAAGGGCACATTTGTGTATGAATAGGGTGAGCCTGTGGCCTGGATTCAGGAACTGAGTATTAACCATCACAAAAGAATGGCCAGGATGCCCAGGTAAAAGCAATCAGTGACCATTATCAGGTATCCTGGCAGACAGGTTTTCTGCTGTAGATGTATATATGATGTTTTAGGGGGGTGGTACTGAGCTACAGGGGAGGCAATTTCAAAAGTGCTCTCTTAAGAGCTTGCACACCAATGTTCTGGGTTCCTCCTCCCTCCTTCGTGGGGGCGCGGTGAGCACCCTGTTGCAACAGTTTAATAAAGATCATGCTTACTAGCTGCTTTGCTTCTCAATATTCTCTGGTTGGCCTCTGTTATTTTTCTCCTACCGATAGAGGACCTACATAAGGACTCTGTATGGGCTCTTGGGTACCCCATAAGGAAAAAGGAGCAGGTTTTTTTCTTACAACACTAAATAAACAGTATTATTTCTGAAACGTCAACAAGATTTTCTCTCTAAGGAATTGGGGCAATGAATCCATGTGGAACTCTGACGTGGCTCTGCCTCTGAAGATGGAATATCGTCCCAGCTGTCTTCTGCTCAGGGTTTTCCAAAGTATAAAAGTTGGTGCCTCCTTCAAAACAGGCAGAGAGAGATTGTGTGTGTTTATGTGTGGGGTGCCCACGTCAGCCTCTGTCCTTGGGGAAGAAGTGTGGGACAGCATCCGCCTTGCAATGGAAGGTCCAAGGGATAATCCCCATTGGCAGGATCTCAACACAGGGCTTAGAATGACCTCAGTCTGAAACCCTGGAAAGCCAGCACTGCTGCCAGTCAGGGTAGACAACACTTACCGAATGGACCAACAGTTCTGATGCAGTATAAGGCAGTTTCCTGTGTTCGTGGGTACGGTACAACTTTGTCCTTATCAAAAGAATTAATCTGATGGTGGAGGATGTAAATCTACTCAGCAATCAACAGACACTTTGTTTATTTTGCGGGGGACTGACCCTGCAATTTCAGAGCTGCAATTTCAGGTGTTTCCTCCTGGAGGGAGACACACACATTCCCAAAGCTGGTCAGGGTGTACACACTTGTCTATCCCTTACCAGAGGGCAGCAGTGGGCAAAGAGGCTGCAGTTACATTATGATTCTACCATATTGTGGGAAATCTTCTGGAGAAGGAAAGGCTACACAAATCCAGAGTCCCTAAGACGTGCCTTGTACACCTCCTTCCAGCAACTCCTGCAGCCAAGCTGGTACCAAACATTGCTCTGCTTCCCTTTGAACCACATCAACAAGGCTAAGAGGGGGTCTTGTTGTTTGGGCAGCCCGGGAGCTCCATACACACTGCCCAGCCTTGCACCCCTGAAAGGACACTTCGCTGCTGCTAACACAGCAGTTTGACTTCACCCCCAGAGGCACACTCCATTGTCTCTCTAGACAGACGGATGCCAGCAACAACAATTGGATGGCGGGTAGAAAGAGCCTGAGGCTATGTCACCTGGTCAATACCACCTGGGCAACAGAGGGCAGAAAGCAGTAGAACCCTTTTTGGGAAGCCAACTCCATTGCTGCCCCAAAGAACTGCTGACCCCATCTGTTCCCACAAGCGGCAATTCTTTCCCTGCCCCACACCTCGTCGAAGTGAAGAGAGCTCCACAAGAGTTCAGCTGCCCCCGTTGTGCACCTGCCACCCTCCTCCTGAACCCGCCATAAGACTCACTTCTCCTCAACCTTCAGGACATTCTGGGCACATCTGATGTCCGGCGTGTTGTTGTTGAGGTTGGAGCAATAGTTGTCGATGTTAAAGGCGGTGTATTTGTCCTTCAGGTCCTGCTCCAGGTTGTACTTGGCAGAGCGGTTGAGCCTGGAAGAGGAAAATCGGCCATTGGGTGGGGAGGAGAATGGGGCAGAAAGGGGGCGGAAGGCAATGCCAGGTTGCAGCGGCGATCAGGTGAGGAACGGAAGTATCATCACTACTTGCTGTTATTAAATTGATTATCCGTCTTTCACCTGCAGAGTAAACAATGCTGGAGATTGTTCCACCTGCAACCCATCCACACATCCTGGGAATAGCTGTATATACACACACAAACACACAAACACACACACACTTTTCCAGCCCTGCCCACACACACTCCAGAATCCCCACTCTCTTCTCCCCATCCTCTGCCTGCCCCCAATACCTGACTTGCTCAATGGCTTGCTCCAGCGTCCTCTCTAGCAGAGCGACGACTCCCTGAAGGACCTCGACTTCCTTGATCAGCTCCTGTTCCACCTCATCATGGACCAGGTCAATCCCAACGCGCCTCTCCCTGGAGCAGGAAAAAAAAAGGAAAGGAGAGCAATAAGAGCATAAGAAGAGTCTTGCTGGATCAGGCCAATGGCCCATCTGGTCCATTCTCATAGTGTCCCGTCCCCCCGATGCCCCAGTGGCCTGCAGTGCAGAGGGTTGGACTAGATGACCCATTGACTCCCTTCCAACTCTGCAGTTCTATGATTCCACTTGGGAGAGGCCAGAATGATGCCCCCAATATATCCCCACGTCCTCACCGGTTCAGGAGACACTGCTGAGAGATGCAAAGCGGCTGCTTGAAATTTTCCAGTGCCTTCTCCAGCCGCGTCTTGAACGACAGCAGCACCTCCGTCTCCTTCACAAGCTGGTCGAGTTTGTCATCCAGTTGCTGCTTCCAGAACTTGATTTCCTCGAGCCTCTGCTCTGCGGGAAGAGAGGGAGCCAGGTGACGCCCAAGGGAGAAGCCCACAGCACCAAGGCCTCTGGTGGTGGCGGGGCCTCTGGGCTCAACTTAGAGAAAACCCGTGCTTTGTGATTGCTTTTTACAAAAACACACATAAGCAACTAAACCTCATGACTACAGGTGAAGGTGTGGAATCGGATTGGACTAGATCACCCTCTGGGTCCACAGGTCAGTGATTCAATGCTCCTGGGCTGCCAACGGGTGGAATGAGCAGCTGTCCACTGCTGAAGACAGAATGCTAGGAATTATGGGCCTTTTCAAGGATTAAGGCTTTCTGGGAAATGATATATAATGAAATGAAAAAGGTATTTAAATATACCTTCTTGAAGAAACCAGAGGCTTTTCTCCTGGGTATGGTCGGCCAATTGGTGCCAAAGAAGGACAACATTCTTTATGTATGCTACAACAGCAGCAAGAATACTCATTGCAAAGTATTGGAAGACACAAGATCTACCCACCTTGGAAGAATGGCAGATGAAGGTGATTGACTATATGGGACTGGCAGAAATGACTGGCAGAATCCGTGACCAGGGAAGAGAGACGGCGGAAGAAGATTGGAAGAAATTTAAAGACTATCTCAGGAAACATTGCAAAATTAATGAATGTTAGAACGATGTTGATTTTAGAAATTAAGTGGTTGTCAGCTGTAATGATTAAGTAAAAAGAAAAGAAAGGTCAAAAATCAAATAAAATTAAGGGAGAGGATTTGCTGAACTAACGAATTAGAAATTGGAATACAGAAAGGGGACGTATGAGGAGGTCAGGGAAGTAAGTTATATGAAAATAAGGGATGGAAACTATACTTGTTTTTGTTTGTGTTTTGTTTGTATTATTGTTTTTTCTTTTACATAATTTTTGAAACTTCAATAAATATCTTTTTTTTAAAAAAAGGAATTATGGGCCTTTTGCCTGACTCAGCAGTCAGTTCAGGGTGAGATATAATAATAATAATTTATTATTTATACCCCGCCCATCTGGCTGAGTTTCCCCAGCCACTCTGGGCAGCTTCCAATCGAATGTTAAAAACAATACAGCATTAAATATTAAAAATTTCCCTAAACAGGGCTGCCTTCAGATGTCTTTTAAAGATAAGATAGCTACTTATTTCTTTCACATCTGAAGGGAGGGCATTCCACAGGGCGGGTGCCACTACCGAGAAGGCCCTCTGTCTGGTTCCCTGTAACCTCACTTCTCGCAATGAGGGAACCGCCAGAAGGCCCTTGGCGCTGGATCTCAGTGTCCGGGCTGAATGAGGGGGGTGGAGATAGGGACCCCCAAGAAGATTCCACCTTTTGTAGGGAGGCCCAAGGGAGGCCAGTGAACTGACCCTTCTCCCCAGCAAAAACCAAGCCTCCTCCACAGACAACCCCCCCAACCTACCTATCCTCTTATTGACATCGCTTTGGGTCTTCTGGGTGGTCCTCTCGATTTCATCCACCAGGCGCTGGCTCTCGTCCAACAAGCGCTCAGAGCGGCACCTCTCGGCCTCCGCGCTGCTGTACTGGGCCTTGTTGGCGATGTGCCACTCGGGGGGCAGGAACTTGGGGGGCGCTTGCAGGAGCTTGGCCATGCTCCCTTCTCAGGAAGGTCCTTCAGGGAGAGAGGGCAGTTCAGCACCTGGAGAAGGAGATTCAGACGGAGGAAGAGGGGGAGGTGAACTGGATTTTCTTTAATAACTTCACCACTTGTGGTGTTTAAGACAGCTTTACTTGGTCAGAACAACAGCAGCTGCTGGGGAACTACCCAAAGCGGAGTCCACCAGAATATAGGTTACACAGGCTGATACAGGTCCACTAAGAGCAGGTTTGGCCCCAGTGAAAAAAATGGTTCGGGGCCCCAACCAGCTAAAAAAACCTTCATTGCCATGGGAACAGGTAATGCGGGCACAGAGGAGGGGCTCCAGAATGTGGCTGCAATTGGCTGCTGCCACCTCAGAACCCAAGGAAGAGGGAATGAATGAATGAACCCCAGAATGAATGAACCACCTAAAAAAGCATCACACAGGATATAACATTATCTTGGTTAATGATAAGTATCTTAATATTTGTTACCTGTTGAGAATGTTAAGACCCTAATGACTAATCTCAATCCAGTGGTACCTCGGGTAACAGACGCATCAGGTTACAGACTCCGCTAACCCAGAAATAGTACCTCGGGTTGAGAACTTTGCTTCAGGATGAGAACAGAAATCGCACGGCAGCGGCAGGCCCCATTAGCTAAAGTGGTACCTCAGGTTAAGAACAGTTGCAGGTTAAGAACGGACCTCCAGAACAAATTAAGTTATTAACCCGAGGTACCACTATACTATAATCATACATTTCAAATGTTAAACGTGGGTATAACACAGTGTGCATCACACCACAATTTTGCTGTTATCAGCAGGGGCCTCACTTACGAAAACGAAAACCTACAAACGTGATTGCATTTCGCAGCAGTGTCATACTCTCAAAGTGCAGAAGCAAATGTTTGTACAGAGTCGGAAAAGTTCAGTCCATGGTACAAGTACACAAGCCATTATTCAGAACTGTGTGTGTGTGTTGCATAAACCATATGCAAGATATTCGAGGTCCAGGCCCCCTTTCTGAACCACCAATAATTTGTACCTGCTCTCCTCACACACCTGCGGCCCGCCCCTTGCCAGCCCCGAGTTTATAGAGAGGCCTTCCTTCACCTTAGTTTTACACAGGCATAAAAAGTAAGTCACATTCTCAGAGAAAAAGCAGGTCTGCATGATCAGAGCAGGATTCCTGATTCAGCCAGGGAGCCTCCTCTCTATCAAATTGGCTCAAGACTGAGTTTTTCCTGCACATACATTCTAAATACAGTCTGGCTTCAAGCACCAGGTCTGTTGGCAGACCACTTCTGTGTTACAAAGGGGGGCATAGAAGGGGCAAGTATATTTCTAGGAGAGCAAGGAAGAAAAAACGACAGACTATTAATGCCAGCAGTTCTGAAATAGGGGGGCGAGTTCCTTGGTTTGGGGGGGGGGCTTGCTCACACACCCCCTCTGGCGCCGCCTACCAGGACCACCCTCCGTTGCTTGGGAGATGGGAGAGGCTTGGACGGCGCCGCATTCAGCCCATATTGGGGGAGGGTATTTAGGATCCCAGCGCGCAGCCCCTCTTTGGCACTGGATCGCCTGCTTGCAAAAGCCCTGAAGGCTCTAAATCTAGGTCGAAAGAAGACAGCAAAGAGGATTAAGGTTTAAGAAGCCAGATCACCTTTCCGCAGCAGCAGCAGCTCTCGTCCTCGGCGCGCGCGCTCGAAGCATCAAAAGCTGAAGCGCTGAGCAACAAACCCGTCGCCATGGGGACGGGTAACGCGGGATCGCGGCAACGGGGGCGGAGTTCCAGAATGCGGCCGCGATTGGCTGCCGCCGCCTCCGAACCCGCGGAGGAGGGAAGGAATGAATGAACGAACCCTGGAATGAATGAAAAGGCGCGAAGCCTGGAAAACCGAGGGCGGCGGTTCTACCACTGGCCAGGACGGGGAGGAAGGGCGCTCGGCACATGCTCAGGGCCCCCCTCGTTCTCCAGGAGAAGTGGAAAGCGACTGGAGTTCTTTATTATTATTGTAGTGTGAGGAATGGGGGCCATGATAGAGGCATTTATAAAAGGACGCGTGTTGTGGACAGAGGACGGCTTTCCTTCCCCTCTCGTAACACAAGAAATCTGTGGGACGCTCCAAAGACACTGAAGGGTTGATTGATTGCATTTATAGCCCGCCTTTTTCTCCAAGGAGCTCAAGATGGTGTACATGGTTCTCCTCACCCTCTTCTTTTAGTCCACACAACAACCCTCTAAGGCAGTGTTTCCCAACCTTCGGCCTCCAGCTGTTTTTGAACTACAATTCCCATCATCCCTGACCACTGGTCTTGCTAGCTAGGGATGATGGGAGTTGTAGTCCAAAAACAGCTGGAGGCCCAAGGTTGGGAAACACTGCTCTAAGGTAGGCTAGGCTGAGAGGCAGTGGCTGGCCCTCAAAGGCACCCGGCCCCAGTGAGATCCATGGCCGAGTGGGGATTTGAACCCTGATCTCCCCCAGGTCCTAATCCAACTCTAACAATGCGCGCGCGTATATGTGTGCTTATATATTTGTTATTATTGTACTTTCGCGTAGCAGGGTTGGACAGACAAAAGGAAGGCCCTTCACAGTAGCGCAGTTAACCTGTAAAAAAAGAAGATTAGTCTAATTCCTGGAGGACAATAGGACTACTAAAAAGGGCTAACTAGCCATGATGGAGGCTGTGCTCTGCTGCCTTCACCATCAGAGGAGGCAGCGTTCACTCTAGTTGTCGGTCTCTACTGTCATCCGTGTCCTGCTTCCTTCCCGCTATTGAGGAACCAGGGTAGCTAAAGAGAACCTTCCTACTCAGGACCACTCTACCTCCTATGACTGCGGGGCGCGGGCAGCAAAAGTCCTTTCTTAAAGCATGGCCTTGCGCATGCGCCAATGCCAGCCGAATGTGGTGGGGGGAGGGAAGCATCCCACTCGGCCACCCGACTTCGCCTCTGCGCTCAGCCAATCGCATGCTCTCTGGGCCTCGCAGCTGCCAATCCGCGTGCCCCCTGAGGCTGGCTCGAGCGGCCCGCGCCATCTATTAATATTCATGAGGGGCTTATGAATATTGTAATCGAGCCGAGGAGCCGCCTCAGCCTCACAGTCGCCTGGGCGTGTCGGAATGGCCGAGACCTCGGAGCCTGGCGGGGCTCGAGCCCCTCCGGTGGCCGCCGCCGCCCCCGGCCGGCCCAAACTGACCCACCCGGGCAAGGCCATCCTGGCAGGTGAGGCAGAAACGGCCGCGGCGGCCCCTCCCCCGCACCCACTTTCCGTCCCCCGGGCGGGCGCGGAACACACTGCGGTGCGGAATGAGGGGAGAGGAGGAGGAGAACGTCCCTTTGGTTGATGGCGCGACCTCCCGGTCCCACCGGCGCGGGCGGGTTGGCGTCCCTTGGCTTCCCCGTGGCTCCTCCTCGCCTTTGGCCCCCGGGAGCCCCTCTCTGGCCCGGAGGCTGAAGGATGGGTGGAGAGAGAGCCCTTCAAAGGACCGTGTTACTGAGTGGGCACAGCACCTGCTTCTATCTGCAGGAAGCCCCCGACGCAGCATCTCCAGGGGTGGGAATGGGAGAGGACCTCCCGACGGGCACCCTCAGACAGGCGCTGCCAGTCAGTGCCGGCAGTACTGAGCTAGGCGAACCGTCATCGCCCTCCTTTGGTGCAACGCGGCTTCCTCTGCTGACTCTCTTGAAGCACCACCTGCCCTGCAGAGCAGGACACAGCAGGCTGACTCTTGGGGAACGGAGCACCCCTCTTTTCTCCACGCAGATCAGGGCCCAGCTCACTGACGCCTCACCCCCTTTTCTCTCTCCTGCTCAGGCGGCATTGCGGGGGGCATCGAGATCTGCATCACCTTCCCCACCGAGTATGTCAAGACGCAGCTGCAGCTGGATGAGAGGGCCAACCCACCGCGATACAGGAGCATTGGTCAGCCACCCTTTCCACCTCTTGGAGCGGGTTGGCCAGAGTCCCAAGGCCTTTGCATGGCGGGGGGTTAGACTAGATGACCCTTGGGGATCCCTTCAAAGTCTACAATTCTATGACTGGCTGCTCTGACCCCCTACTGGGACTCCCCTCCTGGTTCTGGTTTTGTTTAGACCCAGTCTCCCTACCCATGGCAAGTTGGTGGGCGGGCCTAATATCTTCTCATAAATTTGCTGTTAGATTCAGCCCTTTTCCATCCCAAGAACAAGGCATATTTGTGCCCCCAACAAATATCTCTCCACCTGACCCCCTCCTTGTGATCTAGTTGGGCCACACCCCCTCTGTGAAATTGAGGCTTCCCTTGAGCCCATGTGCAGACTAGCAAGTGAAGCAGAGGCCTGGGAAGAGTTCCTCTGAAAGGAGCACATAGCCCCCTTGCAGCTGAGTGGTCACAGACCCTCTGCCTTGCAATGACTTCGGATTCCCTTCCCAGAACTTTACTCAAGCCAGGATCTCTAGGCAGCTCTTGCAAGTGAGCCAGTCCGCATTCCGCATCTCCTGTGCTCACAGCGTCTTTGGTGCCTCCCTTGCAGGGCACTGTGTGAGACTGACTGTCCAGGACCATGGCTTCCGGGGGCTGTACAGGGGCCTCAGCTCCCTGCTGTATGGCTCCATCCCAAAATCTGCTGTCAGGTAGGCACCTGCTGCTCTTTCTTGGTGACATCACCCTGTTGGCTTTTCTCAGACTTGCACACAGGGGCCACTTTGGGGGTCCTAAATACAGCACCCAAATGGACTCACTAGAGCAGTGGTTTTCAACCAGTATGCTGTGGCACCCTGGGGTGCCTTGAATGATGGTCAGGGGTGCCATGGGCAACACTGGCCTCTGCCCCTCTTTCTTTCCCCTCCCTCCTCTATTGCCCTCTCGCGTCTCTGCCTCCCGTAGGCTTGCACAGCAGTCCTGTCTATAAGATCTGCAGGCAAAGGTTGCCTCTGAGTGGCACCTCTCTTTGGGTCAGGAGGGGAAGTTCAGAGAACAGGGGTGGCAGCAGCAGCAGCAGCAGCTGCCCAGAGATCTCCCAAGGAGAGGGGAGAGGAGGCTGAGGGAACACTCCACAAGAGGGGGTGTCCAAAAAAGTTTGAGAGGCTGCCAGCTCTGCAGGCAAGGGGTGACATAACTGGGCTCCTGAACCCCACAAGGGTGCCACAGAAAGAATGTAGTTGGTCAAGGGAGTCGTGGACACAAAAAAGGTCGAAAACCTCTGCACTAGAAGAGGATGGCATCCAAATCCTCTGGTGGGGTCTCCTTTGCTCCCCCCCCCCCCCGGCTGTCCATCTTAGGATGCACAGATCTAAGACGAACTCTTGTCTTCTTAAGACAGACGGACCCCCGCAGAAGGTAGCAGACTCTCCTTCATGGAAAGTTTTAAAGCAGAGGTTGGATGTCCATCTGTCGGGGATTCTGTGGTTGTGATCCCTGACTCTCTGGGATCTCTTCCAACTCTGCAGTTCTATGATCCCATGACACAGTTTGGGCCCCCTGGTTTTCTGCAGGTTTGGGGTCTTTGAGGTCCTCAGCAATTCTGCCAGGGACCCTCAAGGGAAGCTGGACAGCAAGAAGAGTTTGCTGTGTGGCCTTGGGGCTGGCGTGGCGGAGGCCGTGGTGGTCGTCTGCCCCATGGAGACCATCAAGGTAGGTGGAGCTCAGAGCATTGGTTGCATCTCATGGCAGATGTGATGGAACTGCAGCCTTGAGGCAGAGGCCAGTGGGAATGAATGTGCCCCCACCCATAGGCACGGAGTTGCGCCCGTCGTTTGGGGGGGCGGTCCTGTCCCATGTGCATGACATCACACCCTCTTCTCCTAACATTGCCTACCTGTGAGGTAGGTCTGGCTGTTGGTCTGAGGTCATGCAGGAAGTTTTGTGGCTCAGTGGATATATTTTTTTCTGAACCCAGGTCTCCCTGATTGCAGAGAGGTACCTTGAGCTAAACACTGCACCACCCAGGCCGAGCTTGTTGCACCATTTAGAGAGCATTCTTGGTGTGGCAGGAGGGCACCTCGGCCCTCATTTTCTCCTACCCAATTTTCTCCTTCAGATTTATTGATAAGGACACACACAGGCAAGGAATAAATTTGGTGCTGAATTTGTTATTCTTCGTTGCCGTTTGCAGGTGAAGTTCATTCACGATCAGGGGTCCCTGACACCCAGGTACAGAGGCTTTTTCCACGGAGTTCGGGAAATTGTGCGGGAACAAGGTAAGCTGGAGCGGAAATGCAGGCAGCTGCTTTGGTCTCTGCAGCAGAATAATGAATAAATCCCTCGTTACGGCTGCTTGGTGGCGAATTCTGCCTCAAAGACCCCACCTGGACTCCTGTGTCTGGTTCTGGGCACCCCAGTTTAAGAAGACTACTGGCAAGCTGGAAGGTGTTCAGAAGAGGGCAACTAACCACTACACCATGCCAGTTCTTTTCTGCATGCAAAGTAGATGCTCTTCCGTAGAGTTAGACGGGAACCCCAAGGGTCATCCAGTCCAACCCCCTGCAATGCAATGCAAAAGCACCGAGCTATGGCCTTTTCCCAAAAATGGGGGAAGCTTTGCCCAAGCAGTGTAGAGCCATAGGGCTGTCTGCCGCACAGAAACCTCTAAACTCTCTCTTGGCCCGAAGCCAGGTGGACTTGAAGGAAACCAGACAGCAGCAGCCTCCTAACCAGAGCTCCCCATTTTCTCTGCCCTGCAGGCCTGCGTGGGACCTACCAGGGCCTCACAGCCACCATCCTCAAGCAAGGCTCCAACCAGGCCATCCGCTTCTTCGTCATGACCTCCTTCCGTAACTGGTAT